AAACAACTTAGCTTCGGTTGTCAGATCAGAATAAAAAGGGCAACTTCTTTTTAGATCTATGCAAAGTAAAGCTGAAGTTAAGGTATTGTATATTTTGTGTTCACAGGACTAACCATAAACGTCTTTAGATGAGCACAATTCTTATTACTAAAGGAGTTTTTAGAGATGTCCTCTTTATTCATCACTGTATTGTTTCGACCTTCAATAATACCTAAAAAATGCTGCATTATATCATGGAGTATGCACTGCTAGAATTACATGATTTACCCCCCACAAAAAAATAATATTATAAAAAAAATAACAATAAATCAGTTTTTTTTTTTAATTGTAATGATAAAAAACAAACAGTGCGACAAATAGTCTTGGCTAGCAAAATGTCAGCAATCACTTTTTATATTGAATCCTGCTGGGATCAAAGGGACACTAGAACTTAAAATGTTAATGATACGTTAATGGTAGAAATCAAACTATACTGACGCATGTTTAAATCACCATAGCAACCAAAAGAAGTCCTAGGCAGATAATACCGGGTCATTTGTTGTTTTTACATCTCGAAATGTTGGCAATGTATTCGTGCAATTTCCATAGTGTGCAGGTATTTGAGGGATTTGTTCCTCTTCTACCCGTCTAGATGTTGGGTTTTAAGCGTAGGTACTTCCTGATGCGATCTGTCATGAAGTAACAGAGACGCATCCTTTTAAAACACACACATGTAGTAAGTATCAAAGTACAGAACAGTTTGACAACCTTACTCGGTATCGGCAGTGTGTACTTGAGTTTGGCTAACAGTTTGAGTTGGAAAATAGAGATGTGGTTTGGACACCTCTCCTAAGAGGTAACATCGCTTATGCCAAAACATCTGAGCAGCATTTCCAACCCCCCCCCCCTCCCCGGCTTTTTTGAGAGCCGAGTCCTCACACCACCTATGGAACCAATGCACAAAGCATTCAGTCTGGTTGTGGTGTTTATTTATGATATAATCCAGGACACGGAGGAATGAAAGGGAGCAGATACCAAATTTATACAGGAAGTGGGTACTTTCTGGTGCATTCATTTCAGACGCACTCACACACACAGACACCTCACACCGGCGACCTGTGCCACATCTGGAAACAATTACACTCATGTTTGACTTGACCTGTGTGCACCAAAGTGAACTCTGCCAACTTTTTTTTTTTCTTCATGTGTTTGTTGAAGAGGCAGCAGTGACCCTGACACAGTGGCAGTGGGGAAATGAAGCGTAATTAGTCAGAGGTAACACAAACTCGGCTCGTCTGAAATAAAACATGTTGTATCAACATCAAAAGAATCAGGCAGCCTGACAGGCCGTATATATGCGGGAGGAGGAGGGGGGACTTGATATGCTATCAAATGACCCGCACTGGAATCTGTGAGGACACGAGCAGCGTCTGAATTATCAAGCGTCTCACACAAGAGCTTTCATGTGCGGACGGGCAGAGCAGACAGCGCGCATGATGCAATGTTTGATTTCTACACTTCAGGAGGCTGTCAGGACAGCGCGTGCAATTTTAAACAGTGTCGTGTCGGTGTATCAACCAGTCTAAATTAACCCATTAGTATGCTGTGGGGCAAAGCGGGAAGATCAATGCATGAAACGGTTTGGAAATCTCCTTTGATACAAGATTTCCCAGCTTGAGCAGATTGATGAAATTCCTCTTGAAACACAGGCAACCATTTCACACGCCAGACTTTTTTCTCAAGACAAAGACGAGCGGGGCATGTCTTTAAAACACAGCGAGACTACATTAGTGCAACTTGCACAGAAGATGTGGTGCATTTTTCACAATGAGAGCTGATCATGAGCGGCTCAAAATTGACTTTTTACAGTATCAATCTTTTTTTTTTAATTTTGAGTGTCATGTGTTAGGGTTAGGGGTTATGTCAGCCCATGCAGAGACTCCACTTTGATTCAATGAAGAAGGAGCTCTCATTAAGAAGAACAAAGTCATTTGTTCACTTTACAGACCAGCTGCCAAAACCACAAACTACAGAATAACTTGTTTCTCACAATAAAACAGTGAAGGACACCTCTCCTTTGAATGAACACGTTCTGCAATATTCACTGTTTGTTTTCTTATAAAGACAAACACTGAGGCAGATTTAGAAAGTGGGTATCTGAGACTGAATGAGTGCAGCTCCAACCCATGCATACCAAGATACTGGCTCAAGAAGCAGGAAGGGGACGGGTGATGGGGTTCAAATCCTCAAGTGAACTTTAACCACTGTGCATTCCTATTGATTTAAACAAACATTACAGGGGGGGGGAGAAGGTGTAGCTTTCAAGTGAGTAAAAAAGGCCTTGAGTCACAAAAACATTCTGACGGTGCAAAATCCACAAAGAAAGTGATGCAAGTGCATTCCACGAGGTGCTCCTACTATGACTGCGACGAGTCTGACTCATGTACAGATAAGTGCAACGACAATGCAAAACCAGTTTGTATCCAACCACCTGAAACGTTTCCCAAAAAGAGATCGTTATAGTGGCATGTTACCGGCAAACACAAAATATTTGAGATTTTTTTTAATGTGTGGGAAATATTACAAGGGTTTTTAATTTATTTTACAAATAAAATAATAAAGCTTTGACTGCTTTGGTGTGAATCAACTCATTAAGATCAGTGCAACCAATTGCCTTCAGGTTAGAACTGCAAAAAAATGCAAACAAAATGTTTTTATGAGGTAGAAGGTGGCAAAGACGAAGGCTTGTGAATACTTCTGCAACACACTGTGTACTGTGAGAGGAAATGCAGTTTGGAAATAGTCTAAAGGTGAGTTCAAGAAGGTTAAGTGCACACTTTTTAAGATGCATACAAAGACAAATGTACAACACTTGTGCACCCTTTGACATTTGTGCTTTGTTAGATTTCATGTAGGACTCAATGGCTTTGATTCCTATAGTTACAAGTTGAAAAGCTTCTCTTTTTTTCATATCTTGCAAGTCATCTCATAATCTTGTCTTCCCCTGCCAACCATTCCCTTTCGTTTTCATCTTGAAGCCAAATTTTCCTTAATTTACATTTCCCTGTGTTCTTTGCTTTCTCTCAGATTGTTGATGCGGACGTCTTAAATTGCGGTAAATGCTGCTGTAAATCCATAAATTGTCATGTTCACAAGCAAATCCACACATACACAAAAAAAACATCATAAACCACTAGACAGTAGATTTCATAAATCATTTAGATATGTCTCAGTCAAACAGCCATCTAAAATTGAACCTCTCACAAGTATTAAAAAAAATACTTTTAAAGACATTTTATGACCTACAAAATGTTAAATTCTTAAAGAGTTTTTAAGAATCTGCAGAAATCCTGTGAAGTATCCTGAGTGAAACCCCACAGGCCTTAAGTTTCCTCCACATACACTGTGTGAAATAGCGCTGCGTCGGTTCACTGCCTCTCCCCTGTCCTAGAACTACCTCCACGTCCCAGAGCTCAGGTTCAGCACTCATTTCCTGCGCTGACCATCAACTCCAATTATCAAGTTAAATAAGGGCCCCCGTTGTGCGGTTATGGGGAAGGGGAGGTGATTCGGGACCAGGATGAAGGAGGGGTAGGGGGGGGACCACTTTGGTAAGTGTGTGTGATAGCTGCCGCCCACATCTTGTAAGATGTGACTAATGATCTCAGACAATGTTAAGACAGCAACTGCTTCAGCAGGCACCTGAGCCGGGCTCGGCAGTTATTGTAGGAGTGGACGTCTGGCCCCCGAGCCCGGCAGAAGTGAAGGTATGTGTCCGTCAGAGGACGCTGTATTTACACATGCTACTGGGTGTGGATGGCTTATTTTGACAGTTGTCATAATCACTGACACACACAAATGATAAGAAAAGAAACTTTAACAACTTGTTGGCTCTATTTTCACAATCAATGCCGGTGTTTTCTATTTACAAGCCAAAAATTAAAAAAAAAAACCATTCAAATGACTTACGGCTGAGTCAATTTCCCATGTAAAAAGGAAGTAATATGTAAGAAGTGTCTTTCACTTGCTGCAGCACACCACGACTATGTAATCTCACATAATCTGTTAAAATGCAATTAATTGGGGCGCTGGTGGCACAGTGGTTAGTGCGTGCCCCATGCTAGTCAGGTTCAAATCCAACCTGTGGCTCCCCCGCATGTCATTCCCCCACTCTCTCTCTCTCCCTGATTACCGACTCTATCCACTGTCCTATCTCTCCAATAAAGGCACAAAAAGCCCAAAAAGAAATCTTTAAAAAAAAAAAATGTTTTAAAAAGGCAATTAATTAAATAACCCAACAGCTGTGCTTAAAGGATGAATAGCTCCTTTCATTTCGAGGCCAAAACAATCAGCAAGTAGCCACTCGAGAGAAAATTCGGCTTACCTGTGCTGCTCCACGGATTCATTATCTGGTAGCTCTACGCCGCAAACATTGCATCGCTCGTGCTGGTTCCTGCTGTCGGTCTTCATGCCCACCGCCAGCTCCCCGAGCTTGCTGAAGAATTCCCTCTGGATGAAGCTCTGCGGCAGGAGTCCCCCGTAGGCGCTGAAGTCCATAGACATGGCCAGGGCCGGGGACATGGGGAGAGTGGAGGCCATGGACGCCGGCATTGACATGATGGCGTCTGACTTGTGATTGATAGGCAGGGAGTAGAGCGAGGCCAGATGTTTCTCCGTCATCCCGGCCATCGCTTCCAGCCCCATCTGGCTGACCTCGGCTTGCGGGTCGCCCATGCCCTCGTCGCGGACGTAGTGGAGCTCCCGGGCGCTGGTGATCACGCTGCTCCTGGTCGGCGTCCCCGGACCGTCCCTGTTCCTGTCCTCCCCGCTCCGCTCGCCGTTGCTGGAGGCGCTGGACTCCATGTTCTGGGGGCTGTCGTGGCCGTTGCCGCCCATGTCCACTTGCATCATCTCGGTCTTGATCTCGGTCATCAGGTGGTGGGCGTTGGCGTGGGAGAGTTGTTCTCTCGCAAAGCCCTGCTGGAGAAGGGACTGCCCGATGCTCATCAGGCTGTCCACGGCGGCTTTGGTGGGACTCAGGTGGGAGACGCCGAAGGAGGTGGAGACAGAGGACTCTGGTCCACCATGCCGGCCATGATGGGGAGCTGGTGGTTACCCGACAGATAATGACTCTCCATGGAATGCTTTTTGGAGTTCTTGGCTCCGTTGTGGCCCTTGCGCTCGTCGTCCTCCTCTGTGCTCCCGTCATTAGCGTTCACCTCCGCGTCGTTCTCGTCCGAGGACTGGATGGTCTCCAGGATCTTGAGGCATTGCTCCTCCAAATACTCGATCTCCAGGATCTCCGCCGCATACAGGAGGTCGTCCAAGTCCTCCACCTTGGCCTGGAGCGTGGCAGTGTAGGCGTACTCCAGAATCTGCTGAAAAGTCTTTGGTGACAGGAAGTCGAGGGTGTAGTGCTGGCTGCTGCGGTGGAAGAGGATCTCGAACATCTTGCTGGTGCACGCGAGCACAGTCCGGTGGGCGTGGAACTCCTGGCTGTCCACCATGATGACCACGTCGCACAGAGTCCCCGCCAGACGCATCTGGTTGGCTTTCTGCAGCAGGGCAGTGGGGTGGTTGGGGTTCTGGAGCTGGATCATACCCATTTTAGTTAAATCCATTGTGTCGATGCAAACCACGAGGCCGACTCATGAGGCTCGCCTTCCCCCCCGCTCAGCAGTGTTTTTTTGCTTTCTTTGTAAACAAGATGAAATCTGCATGGAGAAACAGAACGGAGAACACAATCAGTTTGGATACATTCTGATGCAACGGCTAAAAATATTGAGCAGAAAACAAGCAGTGATTTTTTAACACTTTCAAATTGAACAAATGTAACACCTCTTTCTTAAAAAAAAAAAAAAAGAAGAATCAATATTTTCTTTTGACATGAAATTAAAATACTAGACCAGAATCGAACCATGATTCCCGATCGTCATCTTCCACAATATATTTTAATTAAATCATTTAGAATATTTCAGAAATAAAGATGTGATCAATTTGATAATTAATGTATTTAAGAATGCCACTCTTCATTCTGTTAATAGTGACTTCAGTGGATGGTAAACACTCCGTGCAGAGGCATTGTTCCTAAACTCAGCGATCAAATCACAGAGTATTGACTGTAGGTTTCTGAAGGGAGACAATTTGCAAGCCCGCCGCCACACAGGCTCACCCTGCATACCAATCAGTCCGACATATGTTATGTTGAAAAGATGTCTTCATTTGGTTATCCGATGGGGATGTACACACAGTTAAACAAAGTGTGAATTGTGCTTTTTTTTTCCCCCACTGCCTGCGTTGCTCACAAAGAGCGTCAGCAGCCTTTTTCTGAAATTAAACAGCATCTTACTCAGTATTCTCATCACAGACGGGAGAGCAGAGAGCAGCGGCCAGAAATGGATGGAAAGGAAAGCAGGACGAGGCAACAAAAAAAATAGAAAGAAAGAAAGAAAAAACAAAAAAGAGAAAAGCACACAACACTGCACCACCAAACACTCTGCTCTGCTCTGCTCTAGGAGTCAAATCTACAAATAAATGATTGCCTCTGTGACTGCTTGTAATTCCATAATCCGAGTTCACAGGGCAACAAGTTGCTCCACCTTAAAACTGCTGCATAGTCGGCTCTAAAACAATGGAATTCAATTAAATAATGTCACACGTATGTCCTCTACATGAATGCTTTTCTTAGTGTCTCCCGTTAACATGATCATTTAAGTCATTAGAATGACCTTCACTGGAAGAATGCTCTCCTCATAACTGCACTTTAATATTCACTCTTGACACTACACTTTAAATGAATGAACGATTACCAACCTCCACTGGACCACATCTTTAACGAGTTCATTGATGCCCATTTTTTTTTTTTTATCAAATCATTCTGTGTGAGAAACTATAAGAGCAAATCATGACACATTCTGACTGCTTCACTCCTCATTTTTCTATCCTGATAAAGTCTTTTTCACATTTCAAAAAGCTTAATTGTCATTTTCCCAATCTACAATTTCATTTTTCTAAAATAATGCATTAAAAGAGAAGTTTGTGAGCACTTCATTTCTTTCCTCTCCCTGCCTGGGAACAACACACACACACACACACACACTATCTCTCTCTCTCTCTCACGCACACACACACTCAAACACAGGAAAAAAAAATAGGAAACATCAACAGCCTTCTAGCTTTGAAAAATAAAAAGACTATCAAAATCCCCTTTCCCCTTTAAAACCAGGAATAACAAAAGCACTCATCAGAATATGCAGGAAGTTTTAAAAAAAAATGCTTCGGGGAGGATCATGGGAAATAAATCGTCTAAATAAATTCGGCTTTTATGACCCTGGACAGTTTGTTTTTTTGTTTTTTTCCGGCACATTGCTAAAAAAATAAAAAAAATCAATTCAAGGAGGCAGGTAACGATGAAAAGCACAGGTTCTCTCTTCTGACTGAGCTCAGCCTCTCAGTCAGCAGAGGTCATCCCTAAAAACCAGACATTATCTTTATTACAGGCATGTCAATAGCTGCGATTTATGGCCCCGTAAACGATCAATGCCTGACGCGCTCTGTGGGGCTTATCAGACAAACTGTGGCTTCACCGGGACACAATGCAAAGTTGCCTGTTTGGGTAGACTTTTATCGCAGCCCTGTTTAGCTCTCTATTAATTAAAGCACAGCGCGTCTAGACAGTGTTAATATTGGCGAGTCGCAGCAGACACATTATACAGCGCGCTATGCATTATGCAAAACATCACGCACTACATTAAGTACATTAAGCCGGGAGAGATTTTCTCACCCCGCGCACGGATTGGAAATTGTAGCCCCCCCGCTGACAATAACCAAATTAAGGCCGACTTCACAAAAAAAAAAAAGGCAGAATAATCAATCTGATCACGAGTTCTCTGCCATAATAACGCGCCTCGGTGACCCCCGCCACAACACAAAAAAATAAACAGCGTTCAATATTCCTCACCACGAGTCACACTGACAGACACAAATGTTAGGAGGAAGAAGCAAAAAATGGGTTCAGCGTCTCCGTAAGAGGAGGAGGGGGGGGGACAATCAGGGACGTGGAGCGTGCTGCTGGAGGAAAAAAAAAAAAAGTGTACACGAGACAGACAGCTGCCACAATCTCTCGCCGATTCGAACCAGCTTTTCCCCCTCAGATCCACGCACAGGTGGACTTTTGTTTGAGGAGCGGATGAAATGCTCAAACACTGGCTCTTTAAAACTGACAAAAAGGAGGGATGGTGTGTGAAGGATAAACAGGGGGGAGAAGAGTGAAAGGGGGAAGAGAGAGAGATCAGACAGTCTCGATAACAAATCAATTTGCCTTTGCATCTGTTAGGCTACCAGTTCCCCCACCTCACAGTGTGCGTGCTGCTGCTGCTGCTGCTGCTGCTGCTGCAAGACGATTATTGGGAACCAATCAAACATCTAGTTGCCTGTCAATCAATGTGTAGTCTTGACTGTACAGTGGTTGGGGTCGAGGTTTGTTTCTGAGATTAAAGACCAGTGTCCCCAGCACTCATCGTGATGTCATCACGGCTAAATGAGCCACACTGGTGCGTCTGGGAGACACAAGGACAAGGCAAAAGAGTGTCGCTGTCTTCAAAATTGCATAATTCCCAATCAAAACGAGCAAACGCGATGTCTCCAGTAAAAGTCACATGGAGCTGGGGCGTCATATGTTGTCTGGCTCCCGGTGAAAACAGCCCAGACCTCACGTCCTCTGGCTGCGATCTCCAGCATACTAAAAAACCCAGACCGAGGCAGAGAGGGAGAGAGGGGGTGGGGGGTTACGTCAACCTTAACATCTCTACAACAGGCTACCGTGCGTTAATGCAAACTTCAACACCTTGCAGAGCAATCAGGTAAACACTTGTTTTCATCCGGCACTACCGGTGCGCAGAGACCAACTTGCGTGCCAAAGTCGCGTTTGCTGTTAACTTCAGCATGAGGTTGAACGGGGACAAGCGGCACGATCTCTCCCCCCCCTCCTCAAGCGCAATAAACGCATCAAAACATCCACATGGTGAATGAAAGTACACAGAGAAAACAGTGGTAGACGCATGCAGAGTAGCGGTTCTGGCACTTGTCGCCGGGAAACTGCAGCCGCGTTTAAGCCCGGTTTTTGGTACTCACCTAAGTTGCACGTTTTGATTCCGTATAGTGTAGGGGGAGTGGGGCTACAGCATAGTAAGGCAGTTCGCAGTACCCGCTCTCTCAACACGCACTAACTCCTTTCTTCTCTCGCCTTAGCAAATCAACACGGCGCTGACGTCAACGCAGCCAGTCAGCCAGACGAGCAGCAGGCAGGCGGGCAGCACGGCGCGGCGCTCCAGTCCGCACAAAACGCTAAGAAAGTGAGACACCTAGGGGGCTGTCTCATGTCAAACGGCTGTGTTACAGTGTGGCAGTGAAAGGTGAGCGACACTGCCCTCCCTCCAGCTGTTTGGATGTGACATACAGCCTACAGTTATTCTCCAAACTCCAGCCAGGGGCAGGCTTAATGGTTCGGCGGCCCTACTGGAAAAAAGTCAAGTGTTGGTACTCCTGACGCTCCCCCCCTCCAACCATTTTTCAATCTATTCACTGAATTTATGAATTTAAGTGGCAGCAGAGCTCAGCACAGGAGACTGCAAAGGGAAGCTGGGAAAAAGAATAGGTCACTCAACTGAGAAAAATGCTTTAAAATAGAACTTATTCATTATCATCTGTTTTTAATTTTGAATCAGAATGAATATTGGAGAAAACTAATCATGTAAAAAAATAAAAATAAATGCAAATTGAAGTAATTTGGTGAAATATAGGAAAACCAAACCATCATCACAATTCAACAGTGAAAATCTAGCACTGACTGTGTTACATTTATGCAAATTTTTTATCATCTTTCGCTGTTTTTTAATACAATTAGAACATTTCTTCGACTTTTTTCTCTATTTAAGCAAAAATTCTCATCTCAAAATACTTTTATACGGGAGTCCTAAGAGGACAAGAATCCATACATTTTATATATCTCAGTTTCCCAGTGATAAAAGACAAAATGTATTTTATTTTTCCGTTGAGATCTCATTTTTATCTTGATATCTCAGGTGAACTGTGCTGGTTTTCCAGTGAAAACGAGTTTATTTCTGAGGATTTTAAGAAAATGACTGAAATTAATGATTTTCTATGCTAAAGAGTGACAGTTCCTAATCTCAGAAAACACCCTGGTTTTCCCGTGATGTGTTGATTTTAGTAGTTTTCCTGAGATCTTGATCGCATGAACACCAGCATTGTTTCCCACAGGAAACAAGATAAAGAAATCAAGATCTTAAAAAAAACAACCAAAATGCAGCCTGCTCATTATGACTGGAAAAGGGAGTTAAATAAAAGTTATGGCTGTATGTCCTCTTAGGGCTTCCATACCTGTATCACAAATGATTCTATTTTATTTTTTAATTTGACATTATTATGTAAAAGAATGGAAATCTACAAGAGACAAGAAAAGATCAGATTATAGAGAGGTTTAGTAGATCAGCAGGGGTGTTATAATTTCCATCACATAAATGTATAATGTTCAGCTATACCCAAGTTTAGCAGTCTGCAGATTTATCATCTGTCAACAGTGAGCCGGATTCACTACAGTAAGATATCTCTGCTAAGATGTAGTCATGTGACATACAGATGCATCAGACACAATCCTGAACAGATGCAGAAGTCATAAACAACACAACATATGACCACTTATGCCAACAATGTGGGTTTGTATCATCTCTTGGAGCTCCACAAGGACGAGCCTCACGGTGGCAGCCAATGACATTGAAAAAGTCCCTGACAATTTCAGGAACATTTCAGGCAGGCTGCCCCTGAATTCTTCCTGAGTTGATTGTTCATATATGTATCTCACAGCGGGATATCGCTGACGGACGGGAGGAAGTACAAGAACAACACTAAAGTGGAGGACGAAGCATCAGAATGGGATGCTTTTATGACTTTTTTTTTATATCAATGCTATGTGTAGTTTGGCATAATCACTGTAGAAGAACAGAGAAGAACACATCCCGGGAACAGAAAACGTAATGAAGCAGCTTCATTAAATGTCCGGAGATCGCACCAGGAGGGATGCCGGTCGCAGGATATCAATGTGATCACTCTCGCCTGCTTGCTCGCGGCTAATTTTCCTGAATAATTCCTGCTGCGTTCTCATCTTGGCTCACCTTTACTTCACAAGGAAAATTCTGAGTAATGTTAGGGCGAAAGAAAATCGTCTAACCCAAGACCTTAAGTCTTGTTTAACTCTATCAAGTCTTCAAAGAAAAAAACAGAAATTTCAGAGAGAAAAAAGTTTTTGTCTGGTGTATCAAAAAGAAAAGTCTTCAATGATCCATGTTGTGAATGTCTTTTTGTCTGATGTTTTTGCAGAGCATTAGAAGCACTTAGGATAGCTTTAATTTTCCTCTGGCTTTTTGTGTTGACCGATGATCATCGATGCGGTGGATGGTACACCTCATTCTTGTTCTTCCTTTCTTCCCCTGATATATTTTCAGTCTTTTTATGGTAAAAGCATCCTTTAGAGCCACTCTGAAAATAAGCTTAACTGATGTTTTTTGACTTAATGATGATCATTGACTGGAGGCTATTTTTTTAACCAATGGACTCATTTTCCTAGATATTTTCATTCTATTGTGATTTCCCCTTAAGTGCTCCGCGTAAGCTCTTAGTTCATGTTCCTGACGTCACAAATACAAATTGTCCCCCGTTTAAGTGCTCTGTTTTTGTCTGTTTGGTTTTAAAAAATTGTGTCTGAAGCAGAGAAAGGAAGAGGGGGATTTTGAGGATACTGTTTATGTGTATTTATATCTCTGATGTTTGTATCGATATTTCGCACAACAGTTTGTGAAATACACACAACTTAATATCAAGAGACTCCTGCACATCGTCTCAAATTGTCCTTACTTTCTGACATAACATTTTTTTAACTAAATTGCAAACGGAGTAAAAAAAAAAAGAAAAGCCTTCAGTTGATGTTGTGAAAATGGTGACTAAACTAAGTCTATGTGGGAAGGATGTTGATGGAGATATACTGTACAAGGTGTTTTTTTTATACCTCAGAGTCAAAACCAAAGCACTATTCAATTTTACAACTGCATTAAAAAGTACAGTACTGTATTGTTTTTAATTTCACAGTAATTTTAACAAGTACAGTACTGTATTGTATTTGAATTCACAGTAATCAAAACTATACTGTAATTGCAATTAGAGTAACATTACTGTGAAGTATATCACAGTGAGTCACTGGCAACCAGCTGCCAGTATAATACTGTGATTATCACAGCAACAGTTTTACAGTGCATGACTTTGTGCAAAGATAACAAAGTACTTTTGTTTCCTAAAGCTTCCCAACCTGGAGCTGCCACACAAAGTATTCTAACACATTCTTCATAACTCACTACTTGGTAAGGTTCAGGAACATATACATGTTTGGGTTGAATGATTTGTGCATTTTGTTTTCATTTAAGAAATGAGCAGCGCCACCTGGAGTTAAAGAGAATTAAGAAAAATCTGGAAGAAACGGCCAAAGATGGCACCGACATGTTACTGTTAGCAGTGTTATGATGTCACTTTTTGAAAGTATTGGAATTGGTGTCCATGTATATGAATTCTAGAAAGTTTACTTGATGATTATCCATAAATAACCAGGACCTGCTTGAAGTATACCTGCATGTTTCTTAATCTGATATCACCAGCAGGGCACAGCTTTTCAACTGACTGATAACACATTTCAACATTAACTAGTTTTTGGTGATACGGTCGATCCTGACTTTGTGTAACTTTTTTGTTGCCGGACATCTAATATTGGCATGCCCCCATAAATATCATACTTCCTTGATTAAGTAAGATTAAAGACATATAGATCACTGATGTCAATGTATGAGTTGAGATAACCAAACAGGGAACACTGGGGTCAATGGGTTAAATTCCCCTCTCACTGGCTGAAAAACCCAGCAGGTTAGAAATAAATATAGCCGAAAGTTGTCGTCTTCCTTGCGGGGAGCTTTGCCAGGTGGTGCAAAAAAGAATTTATTTGCAACATTACTTCAGTAAGACCCGAGAAGCTGGGAGGCCTCGTCATCCAGGATGATGAGTCGAGTCACCTCGGCGCCTCAGGCTCACATCAACACTTCAGAGACTGAGCCTGATAAAATGGAAGAAGTGGACGCGTGGGGTCACAGTGGACTATCAGAGGGAGTGCGGGGGTCACTCAGCGTCTGCAACAGATCACTCATCATGTTCAATCGATAAGGACTGGTTGACAGGGCGGTACGGTTTGCAGTGTGCTGAGGAGGAAACATATTAAGAAATAACAAAAGATGTCTCCAACCCAACAACAATATTCCTCACTGTGTTCAAGAGTTGCCTACTTTGACCTCAAAAACTCTTTTGACTGATATTCAAAACGACTAATCACAACCAAAGCTTTGACATTACACAGCAGTCAGCTCATAAGGAAAGTCTTTAGTGCTATAACCTAGCTTCCTTCATGAACTGTATCAAACTCTGCCATTAACTTTGCTTTCAGAGTTATTCCTCGTTTGGCAGGGGCGTGGCCAGAGGGGTGGCATGGGCCCACCTTGAAATCTGATTGGTCATCCCAAAATCCAAATCTAAGATTGGCTATTAGACTAATCAGAGGCGGGACGATTCTGGCTGTTTTTAACAGGCGTACTTTGCTCTTTCCATAAGAATTACCAATTGAATGCAATCTTCTAAGTACTTTAAATTGTGAATTTGTGCATAAATCTTTACTTTTTGAGTTCCTAAAAGAAGATTTGCTTTTCTAATAAATTGGTGATGCTGACTGAAAGTAGTGTGCAGGATTGTTTCTTTTCAATGTTATTGTTTAAGGTCCTAAGCACCTTCTTCATGAGAAAGGTGCTTTATAACTTTTTAAAATCTAAAGCAAAACATGTTGGTGCTCAATTCAATTAGTGGACAATGAAGTCCTTTGTGGAAACAGGAAACATGTTGATGTTTTTATAGATTTGGTAACTAGGCAGTTTAGATAAGTGTTTGCAATTTGAGTTTTTTTCTTTAAAGAACAAATTTCCCTCACATGAAAAAAATACAAATCAAAATTCTGTCTTGTGTTTGTTTTATTCTAAAAACAGCAACAGGTCTGGGTTTCTGCACCTGGTTGTAAGTAATCACAGCAGTTTAAAGCTGCTTCGAAATGGAAAGCATAGGTTTGAACGGGGGCTTTCAGGGAAATCTCATTTCCTTTAAAATACAGTGGTGCTCTGGGAATTTTGAGATTCATCCGGGCACGGATCACAGAGTGC